GCTATGTTCAACATGTCATCACCATCTTTCAACCGCAATGTACAGGAAACCAACATAGAGTAACTTCCTCGGGGTGTGTTGCCAATTCGTCAAGGTATTTCATTGATCTGTGCATTTTATTGAGTGCTCTGCTGTGCTCTTCTCCACACTCTTCTCCATAAAAATTCACCGGGCAGCATGCCCCACCTCGGCTTTGGACGTGTGGTAAGCCCTCCCCTTCATGTCAGCCATGGCCATTAAGTCAAAAGACAAGAGGTGAACATCCCACAATTGTTGGCATGATGTCCATTTCGCAAACAAGCATCGCTAGTTTTTTACATGCAACAAACAGTACCCGCTGCTTAATACTAAACTGAGCTTGCGGTTTAGCCTGTGGTCAGCTGAAGTCTCGTTCCTCATTGATATTTGCATGGTCCTGTCTGGGTCAACCATGACCATTGAGTCGAAGTTTTCAAACACGATCAAAGATGAACCTAAGGAATGCTGGGCCAATGTGCATTGAGCAGAGAAGCACCACCAACCAGCCTGGACATGCAATGTTTTAGCTAGGGAGATATCCCGGGTGCCCGGGTCCCGACGTCACGCCCGGTTTGGGGACCGGGTGACCGGCCAGGCATGACCCCCGGGCAGCCCCAGCAAAAAAAAAAAAAAAAAAAAAAAAAAAAAAAAAAAAGCCCAAAAAATCTCAAAAATGTTGTGTAGAATTGCAATACAAACAACTTTTGGCTGAGGGTCACATCAGAATTTCTCACGGAACTGAAGATAAAAAAGAAAATAACCAAATCACACTGAGGCACCCCCTTTTAAACCCCTTTAGCGGAAGTTTAGCCCCTTTAAAATTCATTTATACTCCCCTTCCCCACGTCTTGACAGCCAACACTCAAAAAAAGAACAGATCCTGGATTTGGGCTCCTCTCCGGGAGCGCGGAAAAACCCCACCGCCATTTATTTATTTATTATTATTTTTTCCCCCCCCATGCCCGGGTATCCCAGGCATCAGACCCCCCTGGGCGTCACGCCCGGGTGACCGGCCGGTCATGAAAATCTTCCTAGTGTTTTAGTATTTGACAATTTGCAGTTCAATAAACTTAGCTAAAGCCTTGAGGTGGGTAGCATCCTGGAAACCCGCTAGGGGGGGGAGTGCTCTTATCACCTCTCCTAGGGGGGGGACTGTTTTTTGTTTTGTTATGTTTTTTTTTTTTTTTTTTTTTTTTGAAAGCTTGAGCCTTGTGGCCAAACAGAATCTTATTTAGCAATTGCTTTGGCTTGTGTGGCTGTTTGTCGTTTTGGCTTGTGTACATGCTTGCTTCTTTTCCATGGTGATGATATGTGCAGAGACCTCAGTTTTAATAGTCTAAGTGGCCAGATACCAATGAAGTTGAGAGATCTGAAGCACCTTGAAATTCTGTATGTTCGCGATTCTTCATCGTCCAAATCGTTTCCCAATTATTATGTGGTTTCATCGCCCAAATCGTTCCCCAATTATTATGTGGTTTCTACTACCTAGAGCTTTCGTGCCTGTTTGTGGTTTCTGCCTGTATGAGTGCTTTGCTCCATGCACGGGGGTGAAATGTGTAGGGACCTGAGTTTTTTATAGTTTAAGAACTTTAAGCAGGGTTGCCCCACCGATGGTTGGCCACAAATGGTCAACGACTCGTTGAATCTTTGCTGAAAGTAATTCTAAAGTGCTGTTGAAAGCAGTGTTACCCAACCGAACGTCCGGGGGAGGGGTCTACACCCCCCCTGCCCCGAGCGTTCGGGGGCCGAACTTTGGGAAGTTTGGCCCCCGCCAAAAAAAATCAAGGCCTTTTCTTCTTCTTCTTCTTCTTCTTTTTTTTTTTTTCTTCAGTTCTTCATGATGTTGTGAGGAATGTGCCTTCACGGGGCCCTAGCCAACATGCACATGATCTGGGCTGTAGCCCCCAGCAAGCCCCATGCCCGCCCTAAGTGAAGGCGGGCCTGAATATCCATAAGAGGCCCTTATCTCAGCATTTTCCAATGTGGGCATCAGACAGTCGCAGCACGCCAGTTGGTTGGAGTGCAATGTGAGCCTCTCCCTGGGCTCCTTCCAGAAACAGCAACTGCGTCAAAGCCCAGAGCCGGGTGGTTGCGCCCTGGGCACACACAGTGTGAGGCCGACACATCATGAAGTTGTCACGGGCGAATCAGAACACAGCATTGTCGTCTCAGAGGCCCGGCGAGCCAATGAGAAGACGGCAAACACTTGGAGGCTGGAGGCTGCCTGGACGTGCCCAACCAGAAAGGGCCCAGGCCCCCAACTGTCGGACAGGGCATGGACGCAGACACTGGGGCCCGACTGGAAGCCACTGGGAGCTTCCTCAGCCAGGCCCTCGCAGCGAAACAGAGGCCGCGACTTCCATATAGGAAGGTCGCTGGCCAGAGGCTGGGAATTCTGGCCTAGGCAGGCAATGCGGACATGCTGCTGCGCAAGTGGCTGCATGTGCGCTGCTGGCTGGGACGCACACGGGCACTATGAGGTGAGAGGGGCACTGTAGGGCAGCGGGCGCACAGCAGCCATAGCCGGGCCGCAGGGGCGAATGCGAGTGATAGGCGGAGGAGGTCTTCGGGTAGGAGGCGCATGAGTGGGTGGTCAAGGTCTGATGAGGGGAGGAGAGAGAACGTACCTGGTGTATGTGGGAGGTCGGCATAGGTGTTGACGTCATGTACATTGGTCTTCAACGTCGGAAGTGATCCTGTTGCATGAATGCGGATAGGCTAGATAGACTCAGTAGAGTAGGCTGGGCGCTGGGCGCCAGACAGAGGAGAGCAACATTGGATAGTGTGTTGGTGGGGGCTGAGGGCGATAACATTGGCACACGAGTTCATTGCTTTGCTCTTATTTGGATGGAATCTTGGTGGCAGTTGGTGCAATTACGCTCTCTGCTTGGTACATGACTATCTGGACATGTGTGATTTTGCAACTTGGTTTTCTGTCTATCGCTCTCGCTCATATTCCTTGCAATGTGAGCTACATCCCGATAAATTTTCAAAGCATTTGAGTGAGTCAAAAAAAAAAAATCTCTGAAGATGGCGGTGTCGAAACACGCTCTCCCACTTACGAATTTGTTCGTCTTTTCCTTTTTTTGAAGTTTTTTCTTTTTTTTCCTTAAAACTTTTGCAATGTGTGTCTGTGTGCAGGTGTGTGTGTGTGTGTGTGTGTGTGTGTGTGTGTGTGTGTGTGTGTGCGCGCGCGCGTGAGAGAGAGAGAGAGAGAGAGAGA